GGGGTCACTCCTTCAGCATGGTATTGGCCATGTGACGTGTGCATTTGCGAGACGGTCACTCAGGCACACTGATCAGTAGTACATCCTGAACAAACGCACGTTTCCAGCTTGTCTATGTCTATGTAGTACTGCCCCAAGTACTGCATAGAACAAACAGAGTATACAAATGTATATTGGTATCAAACATGTATTCTGCATTAGTTTATATTTTTTGTATCATATTATGGTCCAACGTGAACATGTCTGTGCAAAGGTTCATGCAGTGCAAAACACATCGTGGGCAGTGGGCATTGTAGTTTTTAGCTGGTTTAAGGTTTTTGAAGATGTGGGCATCAGACATGTCCCTGCAGCTACTAAACATCAGGCCAAGGTATTGCTACATAACTGTCGTTTTCCTCTTGCCAGTTTTTCCTGCTCCAGTCACCGACAGTCACCTCAAACTCCTTCCCCCGACTCAGAGTAAACAACCCACAGCCCTCGTGCGTCGCACCGGGCCAGGGCACTTCTGCCTCACTGTCTCGATCTCTGTCTCCCAGCGCGCGCGCTGCTCGTTGAGCCGCTCGGTGGTCAACTCCTGCAAACAGGGCCCCAAAAAAGCTGAGATAGCGACGAGCAAGTCGTTTCTTCCAAAGGCTAAACAAACAAAGCAAACATCGAACCCAAATCCCGGTGTGCTCGCCCGACATAGGCCAAAGGTGGGAGTTGTGCTGGAGAACACGCTCAAAATTCTGAGAGGAACTCAATGTCGTGTTCGTTTCCAAATCAAACGATTCACCTCCAACGGCCCACCTGCCTCATGTGCCTGCAGCCGCTTCTGCAACGACATCAAGCGTTCAGCTTCCGCCTCTACCGTTGCGCAGGTCTGCTTCGAAGCCTTTTTCGCATCATAAGATTAAGAACCTGCACATTTTATTGTTGAGACCACAGGCCGGAAGTCTTTCAATCTTTAAATTGGATCCCTGGATCACCCACGATTCGGAACACGCGCAACTAACTCAGTGACGTCATTCAGACGGGACAGCCGTAACACGCCGGAACGGATCGTAACGGTGTGAGCGTATCTCAACACCCAGACATCAGACCTCTTCTGGTTGTCTAGAGGGGGGGTCGTGTCTCCCCATGTCTCAACTATTTGGGGATCACAATCTTTCAGAAATAGGAATTGGAATGGAATTTATATCCGGGTTAGACTATCATGACGTTGTGAACCCTTATGTTCAAGTTTGTGCAACGTGTTGTAGCTACAAAATGAGACGGACGGATCTTGTATGACCGACAAAATGCCATAAAATGCCGTTTTCCCACCCAACATGTCTGAACCACAGAATGAACTGTTATGAAGATTTCTGAGGTTGGTCCCCAGCAAGGGCCAACAGTCCAAGCAACCAAGCAGCAACGCATAGCTGCCCTATGAGATGCTATGCTTATCCATGTGGATCTGTTTTGAGCTTCATGTGTTTGTCTTGTGGCAGGTGGATCAGGAAGATTCCCTCAGATTTCCGGCAAGAGAAATGCCACGCCGAGGCGTAGGCTACTCAGATGCTCGTGGCTCGCGCACAGCCAGAGTGAGTAGGAAAAAGCACGGTTGAATGGATTGGCAAGGGCAAAGCGGGCACGGCACTTCTTAGTAAAAGTCTTGAGATGCCACGTCACCAAACCACCACCCCGCGTGTGACATGAAAGCAACACATGTTGCAGACGCGGCTTGGCTCTTGGCCTTTTGAAGGCGTCGTACTCGATGCGCCGGGCTCTTAGGGCAACTTGCCTTTTTTGTTTAGTCTATTGAAATTTCTTGAAATTCCCTGGGCAAAGGCTTGGGGCAAGACCACAGTGGGCGCGCCCTGTAGTTCTGCACGTTCGCCTGACGGAAAGTGGGCAGGCGGATAGGGAGCATGCATCAGCAATAAACAATCTTTGCTGCGCCTGCTTCTGTGCTGGGTCTTCCGTTTTGAGGGCGTTGACGCCGCCACCTGCACATGAGCGTCTTTCGCACGGCTGGAATGGTTGGACTCAAGTAAGAGGCCTTGGCCGAGGAGGTGGAGGCGAAGCCTCTCGCTCGATTCGAAATCACTAGAGCTGTCTGGTTGGTGCGTGAGATTTGTTGCATCAGCTTGGTTTACTTGCTTCCATGTTGCTTCTCACTGGCAGTTATTTTCTGCAGGAGGATGGAGCAAGGATGGGTGCCAGTGAAAGCAAACTTGAAAGACGAAGGAACTGAGCAAGATGGCATGAACCCTGGCAAGGTGTGACGAGCAGCAAACGCTTTGCACTTTCAGTGATTGGGCGGTGTCTTGTGTAATATCACGCCGAGACACTGGCATTGTTCTTTTGCGTTGTTGGTCATCAGGCTTGCAACTTAGAGAATACAAGTTGTGGCTTCACCAACACGTCATGACTTCATGCTATTTACCTCTTCCCCCGCTTGACGCTTTGGCGCTGCAGCAGCTGAGGGTGCGTTAGATTGGCCGTTGGCAGTGCAGCTTTGGTTCATGTACACACATCGATTGCTGGCCGTGAGAACAGGCAGGCTGGCAAAACATCGGTTGAGTGTATCGATCACAGAAATGGATCAGACCAGGTATTTCGTGTACTGTATTGTCCCCACTGCATCGCCCTCTCAGTCAATACGATGCAGTCTCAGCCTGGACTCTGACATCCTCGAGGAGCTTAGGGATAAATCTGAAAAACGCAAGCGGATACAAAACGAAAAACAGAATGCAGAGTGAATTCTCCCGTGCTGCCAAGCCATCGCAACACATGAACGTCCCAAGCAAGCTCAGGAAGGCACTTGCCCGAAAAACGTAAAAACTGATGTGACAAGCAAGTCTTCAGTTCAAGGTACACCGGCTTCAGACAGACCTCAGTGCTACAGATCCTTCGACAAGAAGGCGCAACATGCCCGAAAAAACGAAAAAATGATGTGACAAGCAAGTCTTCAGTTCAAGGTACACCGGCTTCAGACGGACCTCAGTGCTACAGATCCTTCAACAAGAAGGCGCAAAAAACTAAATACCGAAAAGTTATAGAAATATAAATAAAATGATTGCAAGCAGGGACATATCCCTTGCATTGCGTCCCCTAACAGTCGTGCCACAACTTTTTAGGCAGAAAGCAGCTCATGCCTGATGCAGAATTGCTCAAGCCAATCAACGCCGTCCAAGAGGAGACCCAATTTACACAGTGCTTGCGCACAAATCCAAAAGGGTACCCCGCATTAACTACAAGCATAAACAAAGCTTCCTTCAAACTTAGGATACGCATGGTTTGGTTGGATGAGAGATAAAAAAACTCTACACATCAATCCCCGAACAGCATTGATTCGCGCTGGGGGGGAATCCAAGAACACCAAGGCATAAGCGGAGAACTATCCACAAGGCGGTAGCAAAACCCTGCAAAAATGTCTGGTATTTGCGGCGCCAAAGCAAGCTGGCTCCCATTCCAGACACACTTTAGGCCGACAAAATTGCCAGGGTCAGCTTCCTCAAGCACCATAGTCCCATGTTGGAACCGTCGCAAGAAATGTTTCCAGCACCAATCTATTAACACAGTTTCATTCAAACCAGACGTGGAATTCCACGCCGCAAAAGTCCGGAGGTCATCCCGGTAAGAAACATCAAGCGCCAGGAAATTGGCATGACGAAAATGAACCAACTTACAACGTGAATCAGGAAAAGAGACGCAATTATCAAGGTTGCTCAGCGCCATACCTTGGGAGTATTCCCTAAACCATTTCCAAAGGCGGAGGAAAGCAGAACTCAGAGCATCTCCTTGGGGGACGCCTTTGAGTTCCAGCCCCAAGTGGCCGTCAATAGCCATGTAATTAGTTTGCGCCAAATGTGCGAAAACACTACCAATACGATCAAAGGAACAATACTTCCATCCAGGGTCGTCGCGCCTGCCAAGCACGCCCTTGGATTGGAGACTTCGCCCTGGAACACTAACACCTGAAACATTGCGTTGCACCCAATACTGAGCCAACGCATTCCACATATTCAGGCCATCGGGACATGGGAGGTGTCTAAAACAATCCTTCATGTCCGCTGCAGCAACAGCACCGAAGTCAAAACCATACCCTGCAGAGAATTGGTTGAATTCATGGGTCATGTCCAACATTTCATGTACAGACATGAAATCACTGAAACCGTGTTTTCGAAAAGCATCCAACAGTACATCCAAAGCCTTGGATACCAACGAATGTAAAGCGCAACAAGGGGTTGCATGCTTATTGACAATCAACCGAAATTTATGTCCAGGCGCCTTCCATTTTGGGAGGACCGAGACTGAACCAACTGGCCAAGAAGACCGTGGAACGCATGTGAGAACAGGCAGGCTGGCAAAACAGCGGCAGCAGAAAAACGCTTCTCTTCATTGGGCAAGTCATTGGTTCTGTGCCTTTTTTGTGAGTATGCTCTTTGAGCTGGCAAATTGGACACGAGGCGCCCCCGTAAATATATTCGGGCTTCCCTTCACTAAATTACTTTACGATGCTCTACACTGACTGCGGCGCTTAACGACACTTACACACCACATGTTCCTTAAACCCATGTTCATGATACATTTGTGTGGATACAGGCACCGACTCCACGTGAACCACACGTGAACAGACCATGACCCCCATCGGGCCCCAGCTCACCGACCTCTCTCAGGGGTGGGCGGCAGGCCGCGGGCGCTAGTCGCTACTGTAGCCCCCTAAATAGCTTTTCCACCTGATGTTACATGTAAGACATCTTCCATCAGCCGACATCAGCCTCAGCAGACCTCTTCTTCTTTTGGTCCAGATTGCTACAAAATGCCTTGTCAAGTATCGACTCGTTTAAAAGCATTGTCATTAGCAACTACAAAATGCTTCTACGAAATGTTCTCTTCGATGTCATGTTCAATAATTACCTACTATGTTACTATATGAAATGGTCACCTCATAGTGGCCTCGAGCACGCTCATTTCATAGTGGAAGTTCTAAGACGGATAAATTTATGGATTCTGTGTTCACTGTGTTCTCTTCACAAACCCTCCGCCCGGACCGCCTTGAGTCGTTCGCTGCGTTCCTCCTCAATGAAGGCCTCAATCTGCTCGCGGGTTTTGCTCCGCTCGCTGGCCACCTGTTCGTCCAAGCGCTTCAGCAAACGCTCCTGGTCCGATCGAACTCGCCGCTTCTTGTCGGGATCCGAGGTCAGGATGGTCTGGGGGGGGCCGAGATCTTGGGTCTCAAAAAGGCGAGTAATGTGGCTCCTCGGCTGTCTGCACCACCTCCAGCAGTTCCTGTTTGGCTTCAGCCGCCTGCTCTCCTCAGACATGACAACACCTACACCGAAGTCTGGTTGCTCAGACCCCTTGGTTGAGCTTCACGTGTTACCACTTCGGAATGAAGGTCATGCCCACTCTGTCCGTTCTCTGGAGGGCTGACAAAGCCATAAAGGTTCACTCCCAGAAGCTGTCGTGGGAAAGTTGACATGGTCCAGCAAGTCACCTTCGCATGATCCAAGGGTAAACATGCCCAGCACACCCGCCCAGCCAATCCCATCCAAATCCCAGCACCCCGCCTTGGGCGAAATGCCGGTTACATTGGATCTGGAATTTGATGTCCCGTCAAAATGGAAGACACCCAAAGACCAATCGTACCAGTAGAAAGGTACATGCCAACCCACGACCACTGCAAACAGGGATGTTTTGCAGAAGACTATAGAAACCTTGCATGGCATCAAACCACTGTACCTGTCACTCATAGGTTGGGATTCCCTTTGTCTGTCTGGCCATCGACCCATGGATGATGTCCATGTTATGATTTGAGTCTTCTTCTGGGCAAAGTAGGCAAAGTACTCGGTTGCGGATTCGGGCGGATTCGCTGCTTTTTCACACCCCCTCTCGATTCCTCCCCGGCCGAACGGTCGGCCGAAGCCGGGCGGCTCATCTGCTCCAGGTGCCGATCCCGTTCGGCGCGCAGCTCGTCATCGGCGTTGCGCCGTTCCAGGCGTTCCTCCTCCAGGGCACGCTGGAGCTCCTGGCGTGTTGGATGGATGGAGCTTTGTTGGTTTGGTTACCATGGAAGTGGAAAAAAACCCTGTTCGTAAAGGAAAGTAGTCTTCCAAGGGACTATTTTCCACTTCCATGTTAGTGAGTCAGAGTGTAGATTTGCGTCTGATTTGCTCTGATTTGGTTGCTGGGGGTGGAGCTTGCGATATAATGCGTGGGCCCGTCGAAGAGCGAAGGCTGCTCCAACAAAGTCACACCAGGAAGCTTGTGTTTCATGAACATTGGATCATCCAACAAAATGCCTCAATGATACTATAAATGATAAATCATAATACAAATTAATTACTGAAGAATATGGGTTAATTGTAGCAAGCATATTCTCCACATCGTGTCTGAACGAAGGAATTACTACATAAGTATATTAAATATATATATATTATATATATATTATAAAATCTGTTAAAGGATATTAAAGGCTCAAAGGCGAAAACCTCCACTTACCGCCGTTTCTTCACTCAGCAGGCTCCAGGCGTGTCTTGTCCCGCTCGAGCTCCACCGTGTCCTGGCCACTTTTTTGACGTGACAGGGGACATCTGATAGCGCTCGGAACCCAACAAGTCTGCGAGGTAGAACATGAATTCAATGAAAAAAACGCCAGTCATGAACCAAGAATATCTGGAGGATCCTTCTGCCAGTTCTCCAGACTGTTCTTCTAGACTCACAGTTGAGAGGAAATCGAGGCTCAGCCCGCGTGCCTGGATCTTCTCCAAGGTGCGGGTCTCCAGACTGTTCACAGCAGCCATGGCCCTTCCTTCGAGCTCATCCTGCACGAGTTCCGAGCTGCATCCACTGGCAAATCTTCACCAAGCATGGCTGATCGGGGGCAGTTCGGGGTCTTGACCAATGCCCCACAAAGTTGGATGTGATCGTCAAAGCTTCTTTGGGGTCCCAGTAAACCGATTTTCTGCCAGGCCCACGCATTGAGATCTTGAGACTGAGCCTAGGTTGGAGAAAAGCTCAGCTCTCAGCTCTGGGGAGCTCCATTCTCTGGGGAGCTCCCAGTCCTGGCTCTTCTGCAAGGCACTACAGCGGCCTGCGGTCACCTGCTCCAGCTTCGCCATTTCCGCCTCCGCCGCTCCACGAGGTCGGTCGGTGCGGAAGATGGACAGCGGGCTCGACCCGGTGTCCCTCGGTGAACCGAGTGGTTGAGTCGGTTGGAGAAAAAAATTAACCGACTGAGACCTACTGTAGCTATCTATAGCATCTTGTCCTGATCACCTTTTCTCAGCTGGTCCAAGCTGAAGTTCTTCTGCATGGGAATTGGATTTCCTCAGGGTGCCATGTGTCCGGTCGCACAATGAAGCCAATGATGGTTTCGGTCCAAAGTGCCTTGAGATAAAGATCGAACAGATCTCACCCCAATCGAACAGTGTCCAAAGGGTGCTCATCACCTTTCTGGAAGCAAGCAAATGAGTGTCGGATGAAGCTGCTGTTGTCGTGGCCGGTATCAATGTGACGCAAAAAGGTTCGGCAAAGAAGCGATCACATTCCGGCCAAAGCATTTCAATAGAACATCGGCAAAGCATTTGAAGGGTTCACTATGGGTTCACCTTCTATTCTAACTTCAGGAGACCTCGACCTCCTTCCTTCAGTCCAAGAACACACCGATGCCTTCATGTCAAAGACAGCCTGTTGCGTGCGACCACTCCTCGGTCACCAAGAGCAGCTCGATTGAACTTGGGATAATCATACATACACATGTCAGCCATGTCAATATCACTTCACTAAATTCATCAGAATCCTGCAGCTGATACTAGCGACAAGCTACAGCGAGGTCTTGTCAATATCCTAGGTCCAAAGTGGCTGCTGAACCCTTATCTTTAACGCAAAATTCAGTGCATGCGGCCATCCTATTTGACAACGGGAGCACAAGCAAGCACTTTCTGGGGTTTCAGCCAGCGCCGCAGCACATTATTCGCTGCTGCTGCTGCTGCTGCTGCTGCTGCTGGAATCTAATCTTTAGTGGCGGACCAGCCTTACTAAAGAAAGAGTACAGTATGTGTGTGTACTCCTTCCTAGTGCAAACTCGGCACACATGCACTGGCTAGCGTGAGGATAGAGCTGAGCTAGAGCAGGACTACGGCCCTAAAAGAGTACTGATCAAACACTGTGAACTCGTGGAGAAACCACAAAACTTACTGCCTCCTGTCTTTCGGGCGGGCTCCAACCAAATTCAGGATTGAATGATATCGAGTGCTCTAAAAGGTTATTTTATGATTATTAGTACAGTATGTGCCGTAACACCCAGAGAAACAAACTGGGGAGAAAAACACCACCATATGAATGACTCTTCCTTGAATCAAGGGGCTGAATGGTCTGCACATCGTTCAACTGTCTCATCATCTGGGCAGGTGCTTTGAGGACTCGGAGGACTCCAGTGAGTAGTCATTGTGGATGCCAGGACATTGTGATTTTCAGTTTAAAGCAACAAACTGAGGGACTAAGTCGGACAAAGGCCGAATGTGCCTATCTGTCTTGCAAAGGCCTGTGTGGAACACCTTCCAGAACTATGTAAATATGGATGTGTAGTACGGCCACATGGGTTTGTCTGGTCGGGGATTCGCAAAAAATTCTTGGGTTAAGGCTCGGCCAAGGAAAGTGTGGTGACCCTGCTCCTGTATTGCTTTGTTGTTTTGGTGAAAATGTTGTCATGTGGATAAGAAGCCACAAAGCACGCACATGATATCCCATACAACTCATATCGAACCTCTCAAATCACTGAATCCTTTTGATATCATGTATACCTCCCCACAAAATCCACTCGTCTTCTGACCATCAGGACAAAGAAGGTCGTGAGCCAAACGTCCCAGCGCTTTTGGGAGGCGCCCGTCCATCGCCAGGCCGCACCGGAGCCCTCCGAGTTTCTTGGGAGGTCATGTTGGGCCAAAAGGTCAGTCCAGAGGGAGGTGTTTTTCAGGGTTAGGACAAAAGTTTGGTTCCCACTTCCATTTCCAAAATCTGTTGCAGAACACTTTTGGACTCCATTTGGAATCCACAACTGGCACTGCACGAGGTTCAAAACACCAAGTGGCGCGTCCCTCTGCATCCCGGAGTTCTTGTTGCTGTGCGCGCTGGCTGCTGTCCAAGCGCTCTGCCACACTGGTGAGCTCCGTCTGCCGAGTGACTTCTGGTCAAAACGACCGTTTCCACCAGGGCGACGCAGCAACGGTGTGGCTGGGGGAGCATTTATATTCTATATATATATATATATATAGTGACTTAGAACAGAAGGTTGGTTTGGCGACCGGATGTTGAGGGGGGAATTTGATGTTCACCTCTTGCCATATTTGGGGCTCCCTGCCTTCTCCCTTTTCTCCACCATTCCAGCCTTGAACAAATATCCATGGCCCAATGTCTTATGGCTCCAATCATGCAACCAGCAATTTGAGAATCCGCAAAGCTTGGAAACTATAAGTGATATATCCAAGCTGGTCACTCTTTGTACTCCATCATGACTCCCCACGATGTTTAGAAGCAACATGCTCTTGCCCCGGTTTCCTCTGCTGAACCTCCAGAAATCCTCAACCCATCAATTTACCACCTACAAGGCTGAATTATCCTTCAGCACCGCAATTTATTTGAGGTCGCGCCCAGTCTCATCTCCACCATCGCCATACCATTTCCCTCCGCCACGCGCACACGAGCGCCCACGAGCGCCTTCTGGCCATTGATCTTCCGTCCTAACTCGTCGATGGACCGCTGCTGCGCCTCCAGCCCATCGGCCAGCCGCCGCGCAACGCCCCGCGTCTCTCCGTCCATCTCGATGCTGAAGTCCCGCTTGGCCTTGGCAGGACTTCAAAGTCCGAGGGGTCAACAGGAACACGAGGGGTCCCAGGCACCTCGTGGATCTCCTCCGAGAGCTTTGCGGAGTCCTTGAGCCAGGCGGCCTGTGCCTGCAGAGCGAGGACCGGTGCGGTGCCTCCGGATGCGGAACGGATGTTGGAGTGAATTGGTTTGTCAAATTGTTGGTTTCATCCTTAAAGAACGGAAAGCTGTTCTTGTGTATTGCGAATCGTATCATCATGCATCATCTGAATCATCTAAGGATGCAAACGGCAGTCAGCACCCTTGAGGGGTCAATATACACTCCTGAACCCTGAGTCTGACTGGGGAGAGGATCATAGCAATGTTATTCAAATCAGCTATTGTCCTACTTACCATCGAAAACATATGTTTTTCAAAACCAACAATATGGAACCCTCCATCTGGAGGGTCATCTGAGCATCTTCGAAGGGGAGGCCTGTAGCCTGTTGCTAAAGAGGGAGGTTCTTACTCTGTATGAATGATAACTACATAACTACATGTATAGTAGTAAGCATTGATCAGCTGGTTTTTTGCTTTTTTAAAGGCCTCCAGGTGAGTTGCGTTTGGATCATTTTGCCCACGTGGTGGAACCCTGCCCAGCTACCTGGCTCCCCAAAGCCGCCCCACCGCGCCTTCTCCAAAGCTAGGCCCAAGCGTGAGACGACTCCCCTCAGCACCAGCTCCGCTTCGGGCAAAGACCAGCATCTTCGGTGGTACAGAATTACAAACAACTCGGGACCAGGCTTTTTTCAGCCTGCACCTCTGCAACAATTGTAGAAGTGTGTGTGTATATGACAGTGTATGACCCCCTTCTCAGCATGAGTCTTCCAGCAAAACTTCGAAACCTACCTAGAGGATCAACCGGACACACTCCAGAAGGGTCAAGTCCTTACATTCCTCATGTGGAATGCCACCTAGGTGCTCTGCCCGCTGCTGCTCTTCGATTCGCACGTTCTGCTCCGTCTGGAGCGCTCGCTCCGTGTCCGCAAGCTTTGCCTAATAGTCAAAGCGAGCAGGTCAAGCCTTTCCCGATTAAAATCGATGAAGTCACCAGTTCTATAGGTCAGCGCAAATATCCCAGCTTACAAATGAACACTATACAATAACACTTGTGGTCACCTGCCTCTTGTCTTTTTTCTATAGCCTGATTATGATTGGGGCGTCCTGTTGGACCATCGCTTTTACAGCACCTCTTTCATTCACGGTGATGTTGAATGGACCAACAAAGGTAAATGGCAACAAGCTAGTAACCACCTGTCTTCAGGGTGGCAGGTGCTGTCTTCATCATTTTGCATAGGCATAATGTTGTCCCTTCAACTCCCACATGTTCCAGAAAGCCTGCAGCTGCTCGTGCCGGACCTGCATCTGGGTCCAAAACTCCTGGCATTGTCCCCAAGGCTTGGGGAGTAGATCTCATTAGATCATATTACATCTCCAAGGTCAATTCTATTGGAAATGGCATTGATGTCTTACCTACAGTATGTGATGGATACCGTTTCTCAATGTCCTCTGATGGAGAAAAACACCTTCCAACATCAGGTCCTCAGCACCGGGTAGAGAGGTCTCTCTATGAAGAGTAGCTCCCACCATCTACGGGTCCTGCTTGTCTTCTTCCCTCTGCTGCTGCTGCAGGGATCTCAACTGCAAGGCGATCTTGTCCTGAAAATCAACATGTTTTGTTCCCAGCTGGTAGGAGACTTGTTCGGCCATACCGAACCCGAACATCCTGCAGCATGACACCTTCCAACGCAGTGAAGACCGCTGGGGAGTCGCGTCTCATGTGATGGGGGGCTCCGAATGATAAGCTCATCTGCAAAGCGCTTTCGAGGAACGGTTTGTCAAAGCAATCTCCAAGCTAGGCTTGTAAGGTTACAGGAGCAAGCATAGGTCCCGGCTTTGTTGGTGATCAACAGAATACTGCACCAGCGAAGAAAACCTACAGATCACACATCCACTCCGTCCACAGTATGCCATGTTGGTGCTTTAAGGGACAAAGTGTACGTGTCCCTTGAGTCTAACTGGTCCGTTGACTTACCAAGTACGAGGTCTTTCTCGGTGTAAGTGGCAATTTTGAACGTGCCCATTACCCTCGCCCCCTAAAACGATCCAAAAAATTGGAACTGAAAGGAACTGAAAGGAACCATCAAAAAAATATACCGTCTGGAGTCTAGATGCCGGTTGACCACCGAAATGCATGTGGCAAATGTTGAAAACTCACGAGTCTGAAAGCCCACGTACAAATAAATGCATGTCTGATGCCAAAGTTCATCCTGGTAGATGTCCGTGTCATAAACTCAATTCATGATTGATAATAGTTGCATTTGTAATAGCCAAAGCAACAACATTCACCTTCCATGCGTTGGCCCCCAATTTCCTATCAAGTACCAAATGATTGCTATTGGTAGTAAATCAACAATCTTGTTTCAGCAATCTCAGCACGGGTCCAGTCACATAAATGTAAAGCTTAAATTTATATTATACAATTATATAATAGTACTGTAATTTGTATCCATTGTGACGTTTGAAGCTTAGGGCTATGCAGAGGTACATAACACAATTGAGGATCCAATACTATCCAATATTGTTTGCAGGGGCATGGCTATAAACCGTCTTGCAATGTCTTGCAGGTACCTTTTCAACCATCTCAACGAAAGGAGCCCTGACACCGCCCCTCAGGGGCAAGCATTGTACAAGCTCACAAGAGTGGGAACCCACAAACAACAGCCAACCAGAGTCATGAAGACATTGCAACATCTCAGGCTGTTCTTCTTTTCCTTGGTCACCTGCTCCAGAAAAGCGCTCTGAATAGCAGGATCCAGCTTCATCATGCCCACGTAGGATAAATTATCATCAAGGCGTGCCACGAAGGTCAGCAGGAGGATATTCAGGACCAGCTCAGATTTGAGCTGCGCACGCCAAATGAAGGGCAAACCCATGACCATCTCCACAGATGCCAGGCCCAGCTTGGGAAGTAGCAAGAACAAAAGGCCAGTGCATCTGCATCGACTCATGGTGATAGCGAGGTATAGGTGCCCGCACTGCCAGAATTCCATCTGTAGAACTCCAATGAGGACCAAGGAGCCCATGAAATGCACGCCGGGTGCACAAAGAAGGTGCTCTGAGATGGGCCGCCCTAAGGCTTCTTCCCACAGACTCCCCACCAAGCATGCCTGTATGGTCATCACGCATGCCAGCACCACGAGCCGTCCACACCCGTTCATGCCTTGCTCCCGGTCCAGTACTGTCAGTGCCAAGGTATGAGGATCGTCATGCAGGTCCGCGAAGCTTTCGAGGTCAACCGTGCGCGGGCGACTTCCAGAAGGGATCACGCCATGAGGCATCAGCAAGGGCTACGAAGACAGAAGTCAAAACAGTCACCATGACACTTTCTCAAGCCACTGAACCTGGAGCTGCGGGAAGCTTCATTGTGCACGCAGCATGGCACTCCACGAAGTCACTATCTCCGCGACAAAAAACATGACTCAACTAGGAGAAAGCAACAGGGTCCTTGGAGTCTAAGATCTGCTGCAGTGCCGCCAGGGAAGACTTGCACTCGACCACCACGCGCTGATGCCTCATAGGAGACTGGCTTCTGGGACTTGCAAACAGTTTCACAAACATGGAAAACTATATAATGAAAATGACTCTCTTTCTCGCCATGTGTTTTGTTTGCCTCAAACATGGGCATCTCCATACGAGGCATTCCACAAATTCCACATACCTCTTTGGACGCCGAACGGTCCGGTGAACCCGGCGAATTCCAACAATATGGATCGAACCATTAGATTTCGATTAGTTTTAATGTTACTTATTTCTTGTTTCTAATAGCTTCTTGCTACTAGTAGTGAGGCCAGGAGCCCCTAGTAGCTTCTTGCTACTAGTAGTGAGGCCAGGAGCCCCTAGTAGCGTCTTGTTGCTAGTAGTAAGGCAAGGAGCCCCTAGTAGCGTCTTGTTGCTAGTAGTAAGGCCAGGAGCCCCTAGTAGCGTCCTTGCCCCTAGCTGCACTGTTTGTAATATGTTGTAGTCAAACAATCAGATCTTTGATCAGATCCTTGGTGGTTGGTGGCCAATCGCCATGTCTCCAGCTCCCAACATCCATTCGGTGCATCCAGCTGCTCTTCCCAGAGCTCCCGTGCGGCGTTGAGCGCTGCCTCCTGGACTCCGCCCAAGCGCTTCTGGCAAAGCTCCTCACTTTCCTCGCAACGCTTGGCACAGTCAGTGCCACAGCGATAAAGCCTAAGGCGGGAGATAGGGCTGCCGGAGATAGGGCTCATTCTGGGATCTTTGGGAGTCTAGGCATGTAGGGCGTCGATGGATGTAGGCTGTCAGGCCATCTGCTTGACACCGTTGGTTCATGGGAGGACGCCGTCTCTACTCTACTAATACCTACTAATTACATCTAATTACATACGTTCTCTTCACCCTAAAGCCCAACACCAAAAAAGAGATACATGGAACCTCATGGACCTCCAACTTGCCCTTGTCGTTTGTCCAAGTCGTCGTCCGATTCGCCGGGGCGCAGCTTGCGTAGCTCCTCGAGTTCCTCTCGCATGGAGCTCACTGAGGGCTCTAGCGCCTGGACGCGCTGCACCACTCGCGCTTGGTCCTGTCTGCACCACATCGAGCAAGCTCGCGCATGTCCGGGGCGGGAGGGCGGGAGCGCATGGAGGATCGGTGTCCAAGAAGTATTGATTCTCACGCTTAAGCATTGAAGAACTCCTTGAATTCTCTTTGTAGAGAAATCCTTGTTGTGGTAAGCTCATGGACCCGTGGACCGCTACAAGCACAGAGTCGGAAATGATTCGATTCTTCAAAGAGTCGTCTTTAATCTTTAATGTGCCGGGATTGCACATGCTGCTCACCTTGGCTATCTATTCCACCTTTTTGAGCAAATTTGACAATCTTACGAACAAAGAACCTAAGCATGCCAAGAGCGGTGCTATTGCACCAGTTGATGCGTGTGTCTCATGTCTATGGAAAATTGCTACTGTAGTTTATAATCTCAAAAATGATCGCCTACCTACAGATGTGTCCAAAACTGTTTACTGAAGCAAAATGGTCAAACTGGTTAAAAGCTTCGGAATCGCGAAAAAACGCAACAAAAAAGAAGTGGTGCCTTCTCATCTTGCGCAGCATTCTGCTGGAGATGTTGCTGCGCCGAGACCTGTTGCTGCTGCTGTCGATTGCTGAGCTCATAGACCATGTCGCTGAGCCTTGAGAAGCCCATCGAGGCCCCCTTGCTCAAAGGTGGTGCTATGGGGTGTAGGCACCTCTATGCAATTCTATATTTTCAACATTGTTCAACCTTGGGCTAACTGTACCCAATGGTATAAGTACCTTCTGCTTGTGTTGGGTTGTGAACCGAACATAGCGCGCAATGCTACCTGCCCAAGTCAAGCATGGCCAAACAAGGGCATTCAGTCCCATTCCACAAATCAACACAGGCTCCACCAAAACGCATGCCAAAGCAAAAATGAAGTACAAAGAGGTCAAAAGCCCTTATAAGGCCCTTATTAATGGCATTTCCTGAAAACAATGTAGCAAACATAGCGTAATTATATACTTAAGTATATATTATATACGTTATATAATTAGTCACATCTCCTGAACCTTCCACCACTTCCCGTCCTTCCCTCGGGTCCTTCATGGCCCCTCCCTTCGCTTTCCGCTGAGCGGCTGCTTCAACTGCTCGGCCGTCTCCGCGCCTAGCGCCACTCGTGCGCTGGCCTCGCGCTCCAGGCCCTGTCGCAAGACCTCCAAGTTCGCCGAGGCGGAGGCGGCCACCGCAGCCGCGCCCATGGCGGCCTCGCCAGTGCCTGAAGACGGCGTGATTGAAGAGTCAACAGTAAACTGCTTCATGAAGAGTCATCTACATTTCTAGTAACTGTACAAGTCTCTACACTTAGTCAGTCCATCCCCATCAACTCTTCAGAGCCCAAGTGACCTCCACCATTGCCGGCGTTCATGGCACCGGCTGAGACGGCGTTCATCAGGCCTTGGACCTGCGCCACCGATTGAGCCATCTGCCCCTCCAGTTCCTGCAAGCCTTGGTCCGAGATGAAAGCAGTTCTACATCTGGGAACCGTTCAACTGCAAAAACGACAGACCGCCCCAGATTCATTGACACCTTCCGGTGGAACAGCTCCACTGTTGGCGTCCACTGCTGACTGGAGAAAACCTTGCCTTTTTCTTGAAACTCCTAGGTCCTGCATGAGCAGCATGGCCAACTCCGTGTTTCAACGTACAGTATATAAATCAACACAGGTTCCACAGGCCTTGCATCGCATGGGATTTGGACGCAGAACTTGTTCTTAACACGATGTCGTGCTGCCAGAAAACGCATGTCTTGCTTCTGGCTCTGGGCTGTGAGGTTCCCCACAAGCCTTTGCTGCTGCTGCCCTGTCTCTTGAACAGACACACGCAACCTCACGCAGCAACGACGCGAAACGACGGCCGCGGTCGATGTTTGTTGAAACCACGCCCAAAGTTGCTTCCTTTTCCACGCCCATGTCAACGATTCCACGGGCATGTTTTGAGATGTTTTGAGTCTACATATTACGTATATTATACGATATTATACGACTATATATATTGTTTGATGCTGGGGAATGATCCATCTCCACTGAGCAAGCAATATCCACATGAATCATCGTCTTTTGAGACCCAGGGCCAGGAGGCTGTTGGAGCTGCGAATGCAGCTGCTCGTGTTCCCGCTGCACCCAGTCTTTGAAGTGCTTATCCGCCTAGCAGCCGGCTCAGGTGGCATGCTGGAGCATCACAACCAAGAGGGGATCACCTAAACCGCTCTGCTTGGAGTAGGAAAAGCTGGTTTTTAGAAAGAAAGAAAGAAAGAAAGAAAAACACTGGCTGAGGGGCCTGCCTGCCTACACACAACTCACTTCAAGTATTTATTGTTCCATGTTCTGGAAGAAATACACCAGAGGATTCAGCTTCAATGAGTTCTGACTTCGGCAAAAAACAGGTGACACCCTCTTCATCCCGCTTCCTAGACTCCTATGTTGGAACACCATCTTCCCTTTCCTTCCCTCCTTCCATTTCGTTTCCCAAAGCCGGACCGGACTTCCCGCACCTGCTCGAAGGCGCCGAAGCGGCGGGATATCTGGTCCCGCTGCTCGGTGACCGAGGCCTCGAGGCGTCGCTCCAGCCATTCCTTGGCCTCGGACGGTCACCGAGCACGGCGGAGGTCCGGATGGGCTGGGCATTTACCGTTTGGTTGATCGTTTGGTTGATGGGGGGCAGGGGTGGGGAGGCGGGAAAGTCAGAGGTAGCCTTTTTGGGGTGCAAGTGCCCAAAAAGGACCGGAAACGTCTGGGTCAGGAAGACTTAAGGGTTGAAAAGCGTCCAAGTCTGCACGGCTTTGACTGCTTTTTGGGCTACTGGTCACTGTAAGCAATGACCATTTGTCTTGATCTGTTGCCAAACGGAGTAACATAATGGTACCACCTTATAGTTAGAGGACTGTGCTTGCGCTGTTCCACCGAACCCCCGGGTGCCTCGGCACCAGTGTCCATGCTCACCAAACGGGGTCGCAGGGCGTTGGCCTTCAAGTCTCGCCAGTCCTCCATGGGCGGAGCCGCCCAACCCAAAGGCGGGAGCTGCGCCGGATACCTGAGCGGGCGGAGCTCGGGAGGGGGGTGATGTGACCGGTTTCGCAAAGGGGACTCAAGGACACAAGGCAAAGGGGCATGGAAGTTGAAAAGGAGTGAACATGTATGAAAATGTACTTTAAACAAGAAGCAAAAAAGGATTTGAATCAAGAATGAAGGGTATAGCTTCTTGGGATGGACAAGAAACCAGGTTCCACCCAAGTGAACTGGCCCCCTTTTGTCCATTCCTTTCGAGCAAGTCATGAAGATTCTGACACAAATCTACGCGATTCTGCTGCCAGTCGCAGGTCTGTTTTTCAACAGGACCCTCTGAACTGCACCCGCCCCAGTCTGTTCAGGGCACAACGGCTGGATGGGCTCCTCCAGCTCCGGCCGGCTGGGCAGCGACCGGCTCTCGCGCCGCTGCGGCGGCGAGGCATCGCCGCGGCCGCGCGGCGCCGGCGAGTCCTCGCGCCGGTGCAGCACCTCGGTGCGAAGGGGCTGGGCATGGCTGGATCCAAAACAAAAGCAAATGACGGCATTGGGAAGAATCCTGACGGGTGCTGCAGCAGTTTTGGCTGAATGGTTGGGACTGGTTGCATTTCAGAGCAGATGCACCGATCCTTGCCAAACTGGCAGGGCTGACGTTCTTTCACGAGTGCCGAGTTCGGCACCGACCACAAATGGTCCGGCCGGCGGCCATCCGGCAGGCGCCGCTGCCCCGCCGGCGGCAGCTCCCGCGGCATCGGGGGACCCCCCGGCGCGGGTGGTGGGCGCGGGGGCAAGGCGCCCAGCATGGCCATGGCTGGAGCAGGTGAGACAGTGAAGTGGAAACTTGGAGGCTGATGATGTCTGATGCCTTTGGCGAAGAAATGGAAAAGAGAGAAGCTCCCTGGATGTTGTGATGATGTTACTTGAGGCGTGGGGGGATCCTGGTTCTGCATGGAATCGTCCTGCTCAGCTGGGGCTTGGATAGGGTCAAAGGGGTGTGAGCTGCAGCCTTCCCTAATCATGCCCATGTTGTATCTTGTTGTAGATTGGTTCACTTGACTGTCCACTCCCAGGAAGAGTCGCAACTGCGAGAGCATTACTCTCTGGAGCCGGGAGCAGCGCTCAAAGCAACACAGGATCAAGAAGACCGATCATGTACATGTAAGCACTCATCACCTCCCGTGGTCGAACAGAACAGGTAGAAGCTGCACTGAACTATAGCCGCACGGAGGGGGCACAACCCAATGAAACCGTTCTATCCAGGATCCATTTCATGCATTTCTAAAATGCGATTGTCTCAAGTCTGCTGCATAATTAATTAGCCCAGACCCCAATGACCCAGCCAAACGTCCTTTTCAAGGTCCAGGCAATCAAACAACCTCCAACATCTCCAAAAGTATCCAAACCTTTCTGGGTATTATACCGAATTGTAATTTCACTTCCGTGATTTGCCCCGTCTCTTCGGTCTTCCTGAATTTGGTCAGCACGTGCCGATCCTTGCTGGACCCACCGGTCAGCAACCCACACAACCCATGGGTCGTGCCTCATGGGTCCATGGGGTTCATCTGATCTGATTCATCTGATTCATCAGATTCATGATGCATCTCCTCGTTCTCTGGAAAAAATGATTTAGGACTTCTGAATGGAGCTCGGAGTTTTCGGGTGGTAAACACCTGCTGCACGGGGTCCAAACGCACCATCACGCCCGGAGGGCCCGGCATGCGGCTACCTTGCTTCCGCTTGGGCTGGTTCGCCTGGTTCGCTTGACTTGGATCGTTGGGTGCTTGTTGCAAAAACTAGATCATTGAAATGGTTAGCGATGCACCTTGTTACTAGTAGCTTCTTGTTACCAATAGAAATGCTAGGAGCTACTAGTAGCGTCCTTGCTCCTAGTAGCGATGCACCTTGTTACTAGATAATTGGATCACGTTCAATTTTGGTTGGCCGTTCACCTCCTGGTCATCTGCTCTATGAAAACGATGTTTTTGGACTCTATATAATAGACTCTAGATCACTTCCCTGCAATTCCATCCTTCTTTGGCTCATGATAGCTCATCCATCCTTCCCGGCACACACCTGGGCTTCTTTGGCCAGGTCGATGGAGGACTGGGAGCCTCTTCGCAGCATCTGCGCAGCCTAGGTAGCGTTGGGCCGTCCAAGCACGGATGAATAGGTTCCGGTGTTGGGCCGTTGGGATACGTTTAGGGTGGCAAAACCAGTTCGGGCGAGGGTCGTCCGTCCAGATTGAAGAACCACCTGGTCGTTGGCATGTCTCTTCCTCTACATTAAGCACTTCGAACCCACCTGGGTCGCTGCAACGAACCGAGTTCACGAAACCGATCCTCGTCGCAATTCTTTTTCGCCTCGAGCCTGTCTTAGATTCAAGACGTCAGGGTCTCAGGGATCTCCTGTGCGACGAATCGCTGGTCTCAGGGATCCTTCTTTGGGATCCTCTCCGTCTCGCAGCTTTCCCATACCATTTGACCTGCCCACATGAAGGTCGACATCGGAGGTGGTGCCAGGGTGTTCAACTCATGTATGACTTTCCAATGAGGTCTTCGGTCTTCGGGCGCAGCATCTTTGTATTGCACACGAGGGAGTGGTGCAAAGCACATCCTCTCAAAGCTTTGTATGCCAAAGAAACATAGGAGCTGGTTTGGCAGTGCTACTATGACCCTATTGCCTGGGTCCTCAGCTTGCATGACCCTCATCCATCGATTCATTTGCCTAGGCAGGGCAAGCGAGCACAAGTATATGTGTGTTTCTGCCAATGAATGCAAATAAGTCATGGACAATGTCTTTCTTTTTTAGAAACCTATTGAGAATTGTCATTGATTATGACCATGGGAGGTGGTGTGGTCTCCAGAGCAAATGATTGATCCTGGTTGCTCCTCTCACTCTCCTAGCTTGTGGGTGTGGGCCTCCATTAAGCAGGGAAGCTCCAATGTCGCAGTGAACTCATCTGGTTGTTCCCCACCACTGCACCAGTTTTTGCTGAAAGAAAAGCAGCTATTAAAACTAGTGGAGACTGAGGAGTCGAGGGGTAAGCGTCTAGAGTGTTCAAGAGATCGGTTTGGAAAGCTCCAAGTCCCAGGGTCATCTGAGCTTGCAAGTCCAGTCAAAATGCATGTCTGACAGGGGAAGAACATGAAGGTGATGGGGTTGGCAACCATTCATTCTGCCACAGCACTTCCAAATGCCAATGGGAACTACAGAGAGACACCGGATCAGATCTTGGCAGTCCATAAAAGACGGAGTTGCCAAGCAATTTGACAAAATAAAGGAGAAGTGCAAGCCGACATGTTTGGAGGCAGGACGACCATAGATGTGCTCAAAGGTTGTCGCACACCCGGCACTTGGGTTATATAATATCATTGCAATGACCCTCCAATCACTGGAGATCCTTCAAACTCTACTCAAACAAACCTGTTGAAGGGGCCAATCTCGGCCAATCTGCATTGTCTGAAAGCCGGCCTCTCTGTTGGGAGGCTCCAGGTTTGTGGTTCAAACCCTGGTGGCTCACCAGCCAAAGCGCTTTCACATGTCCACGGGCCCATGGTATCCACCCATAGGTGATTTAACCTCAAATGCCTGGTTTCCTAGCACAAAAGCACTGTGTTCCCCCTTGTCATTGGATTCCATGTGAAGATGTCTCACCCACCCCTCTCCTGCTCACTCCTGCCTCACTGTCCTGGCCCCTCCCCTGGCCGTGCCCCACGCAACAAGGCACCCAGCTCAGGCTGAAGTTCCACATGAACGCATCCATCGTTCGGATCGCCCCGGCCACCTCGCCGCCTGAAGCCGCAAGCGTGGGTGAAAGTGAAGGTCCCATGTCATTGGAGGGGGGTTGGGAATGCGAGTGGAATGCGAGTGGAAACCAACATGTCTGAACAACATTGAACAACCACAAATCCTCCCCACCATCCTCCAAATATTAATTAATCGCACATGTGACAGTGCGTAGACTGACACCCAATATCACCCAATGCTGGTGGACACTCAATCTAGTTAGGCCGAGTGAAAAAAACTCTAAGATCACCTCATTCACCATCGCATCACTCCTGAGGTGGGTTTTTGCCAGGTTTTCCTTTTCCCCACTCTGAGCGCACTGCCAAGGACCTGTGCTGCTTGTTGTGGTGCCGCTGCTCAAGCGCTCAACCAGCAAGTTTCCAAGGTGACATGACTGTGGATTACAAACCTCGTATGCTGGCGAGCACTCAAACATAGGGGAAAGCACTCAAACACGTGTCCCTAGGGGGTCTTGAATTGTTTCCTGTGACCCAACTGCCCCGTTGTTCGGCCCGAGTGGCGCATGTCCTGCAAGACCTTCAGCAAGGACCCGAGGAAGGCGAAGAGCAGGGACACCACCCAGGCATTGCGAGAGGTCTCCGTGATGGTGATCCTGTGATGGCGCTCACCCCAGGGAGCCCAGCAAGGTCGTACAATCATGTACAATCTATTTGCTATCATTCTTTGATGCCCAAACATCCCAAATCTGAAAAGTGTGTGGGGCGACAGCGTTCCTCCAACACTCCACTTCGCAGCCCATTCGTCCACCGGTTTGGCCGAGGTGCCCCAGAATCTGTTGTTTGTCATCCAGCATGGCCACCTTGGCCGCGAAAGAAGCGCACATCACGGACCCACGGAAGCAGCCCGCTTCCAGGCTTCCAAAGAGGTCCATCTTGACACCCAGCAGTGAAACAATGTGAAACATGGGAATCCAAGAAAGCCTGCGAAAGAACTCCTACGAACCCACAAAGAGCGCCTCCAGTGGCCCACACTCCGCAAACCACCCACTCTTGCAACGCTCAGTGGCTCGTCGCTCAATGCTGTGAAGAAGGCTTGCAACTTCTGCAGCGTTCCACTGACCTGATACGCAATGCACAAACAGTTCTCCGCGTTCCTTTTTAAAAAATGATCTTGTGCTGTCGCCTCTCTGGATGGGCGGTTTGCTTACTCTGTCATTCGCGCGAAAAACTCAATTCTCTTGAAAGGAAACCGCTTGTCCAGCGCGGCGGAATCGCTCGATCCTTTTCGATGTGCATCTGGGCGACGGGAAAGCACCACGTCGGCAGCGGCATCGACTAAGACCTGGGAGTCCCGCTCCAAGAGGCTGTTGATCGTGATACATGCCTCGCGGAAACAGAGTCAACAGTCAGTGACATTCAGAGCATCAAAAACACAAGGAAGCTCAGTCAGTCGGAAGAGTATGGGGGAACTGGGTGGCAGGTGATTCAACGTCTTGGACTCTTTGAACTGAAAGCCCGGGAAAAGATATAGATCGTTATATATTTATCTTTATTTATCTTAGTGTGCGTCTAATTGATATTTGTTGCATATGCGTTTTTTCCAAGTTCCGTGGGTGTCGGAAAGCACCTTTGAAGAAGGTATTGTCGGAAGCACTAGGGAGCTAACGATGTTCGCTTTTGGTTGTCAACTAAACCCGGTCATGTTCTCCACTGGATCATGGACCGTACTTCAAGAGATTACCTTGCAGGAGGTCGTTGCTCCTTGGCAAATGGCCCGCAACAGGTCGCAAGGACTTTCCCTAACAAATGGATGGAAACATCCTGCAACAGGTTCACTATGAAAGATCCTCAAATTTAGCCCCTGGTCACGTCACACTTTGATTGAGTACCCACTCTTTTTGAGGACCCACTTTGCCACCTTATGGCACTTGATTCTTTGGCCAGTGATCTAAGACCTTCCTCCATCGTCCCAAGCCCTGACGCCCTGGTCCTGCATCACAGTGAACATGATGACTCCCAAGCATGCCACCAGCAGCACCACCAAGATAATCCCAGGTGAGAAAACATCTCCATTTGCAAGCCAGTCGAACGCACCCGTGACCATGAAGCAAAGGGTCAGCCTCATTCAGTGTCTCACAAAGAGCTGGTGAGACCATGGACATAATCATAATCCAGTCGGTGGTCACCCAAAACAAAAATCCAGCTTGGTACTTCAGCGCAGTTCCAATTAAAACAAACATCAACAGAACCGCCTGCAACATCTGAACAACCATGTTTTTTCACGAACAAGGTTACTTTGGGAGTAAGGGCAAGTCTGCGAAGGTGGAGGGTCTCTATCAAAGACTATATACAGTATATCACAAAAAATTGCCGCCTGAGTGCATTTGCCATTCCCCTCGTTTTCCACGAATGCCATTGTTCATTGAGGATTCAGTGTTAGCTGTAGCTTTTACGGCTTCTGAAACTGGTATTTGATCTGTCGAATACAAATGAACGGAATACTCTACTGACTCTTTTTGCAGGCTGATGTTATCCAACATTAACCCAGGAATGGTCATTCTGCACTAACATGCTTTGCTCCCAAGATCCCTAACCTTTCGGTATTCTTACAGTCCTTGAAAAAAGTAGACCTGAAAAACCATTCATGAGAATCCAACGGGACACCTTGGAGCGGTAGATTTGGTAAGAGATTTTGCTTGCTTGGCATGGGGCAACTGGATGCATGGAGCCTGTTTCTCTGCTATTGTCAGCACTAAGCGGATATCCTCTCTGTATAATCAGGTTCGCAGAGAATAATGTCTACCAAGTACAGGGAACATGATTATGGCAGAATGCTCAGTGGCGCTGCGCGATGGATATGAGTCCAAATTCTTAACTTGAACAAGTCGGAACTCGGAACCTGCAAAACCAAAAGTATTCATTCACTGTCTTCCCATGGCTTGCTCATGTTGCTTCTGCGCGGACTACTTGCTAGAACTAATTATTGAGTAGTACTTAGATGTATTTAGTACAGTAACCCTCTTCCACAGCCCAATGGCAAAATGCCCGAATCCAAACAACCACAAACGCCCAAAACACCCAGACTCATTGACATGAAACTGCAAGGTCAAAACTCCACAGTAGTCCATTGCTGCAGATTCCTCAGTGATCAGAATGGTGGACCCTGGCCGGTGTGACACTGGGTGGGCTGATGGTGCTTTTGGTGGTATTTACGGAGAGGATCAAGCCTAGGATTCGAACGACAAATATCCAACAAGAAGGAGAAATGACCAGCAATGATACGGCTATCACGCATGTATATTAGATAATTATATTACAAAGTTATATATATATAGTGCTGTGTTGTGTAGTCCATCTTGGCACGTGGGCTTCAGAAACGTCATCTTCGCCGACTTCAGCCAGTGAGCACGGAGGGCGGCTCAACTGAAGACATCTTAATGCACAATGTTGTGTTCCCAAAGATCTTTGAATGGTTCACTTCACTGGCTAAAGTGCAAACACGACAAGCCCTTAGGAAGAACACCCCGGTGTCTCGCCCACCCTTCGTCGTCCTCGGTGCTGCGGGAGGGGCATCGAGGAAGTCCACCTGGATGTACCTCCGGAGGGCTACTAGGAACAAGAAGCTACTAGGGGCTCCTGGCATTGCTACTAGGAGCAAGAACCCTAGTAGGGGCTCCTGGCATCGCTGCTAGTTACAAGAAGCTACGATCGGGGCTCCTGGCCGTACTACGAACGGAGCGATCGGACGCTACGAACGTAACAAGGGCATAGCACCTCCGGAGGTCCCACCACGCTTTCACATCATCCAAATTGGTCAAATCCAAGCGCTCGGTGCCTCGGTGGTTTTCGAGGGGTGAAAAAGGAGGGTGGGTTCGACCCCGGGTGTTGATGGAACGGAGTCTCCAAGTAATGTCAATATGACATCCATGCGGTCCATGCGGTCTAAGTCTAAGTCTATGCGAATTGTTCGAACAAAATCTCAGATCATCTAAGAACGTGCCATATTCTGGCCGACCCTGCATCAACCCTCCATGAAACAAGAATGATAACCTTTCTTGTTCAAAAATGTCTTTGAACCATACTCTGTCCATCTTCAAGTATTGAACATGAAACAAATCGCCCAACCCAAACAATGAATCTGATTTTTTAAGGATCCCCCTTAAAATCAAGGGTGTGGGGGTGGGGGCCGAGCCCCGGTCCCTCCGGCTCCGCTCCGGTTCCGAGGTTCCGAGGATCCGGTCCAAGGCGTGCTGCAGCTGATGTTCGGTGATCTCCGCCCCCGACTGTCCTGAGAAGTTCTAAACATGTTTTGAAGCATGTATCTATAATGTGTATATATATATATATTAATATATATATATAGTTCTACCAATTATGTGTGTAATATATTGCATATAAAGAACAGATGCCTGGAAATTGACACTAAATTCAAACCTCCGCGCCCGAGACTGTGGATCATGCAATTGGAAGGCTTGGACTAATCAAACTTAGTTATGGCCAGTGACCCATCTTGGAATTCAGTCCAAACCTCGGCTTCGAATTGCCACTTCTTTTTGAAGGAGTCCTTCAGTGGGAGCTTCTTGGAGGGACATTGAGGGGGGGGCAATATTCTGCGCTGCCGAACAAAGCAAACTCACTGTGAGGTGACTGTTCGGTTGGCGTAGCGCCGGCATCCAGCATCACCACTCAATAAATTGCAGCTAAAACCACTTGGCTCGATGAGCGAAGGGCATTCTTGAAATTGTCCAGCTATGGCAAGCAATCCAGCATTCAAGTTATAAAATATTATATACCAAAAAAAGAATTGAATCCAACATGAAGGGATCAACACCCACTTTTAGATCTATTTGCAGTATTTACAGTTAGTAATAAGTACCTTTTGAGGTTTGCTCCTGCCTCACGTCCTCCCCCGTAACGTCGAACGAGCCTCGATTGTTGTTGCTCAGGCTGTTGGCCAAGATGGTGCGAAGGCTTTCCCGGTCCTTTTGGCTCCAGCTCTCGATGCTGCTGTAGGAGGTGAGCGTACTGAAGATCAGGAGCTGCTTCGCATTCTCGCCCATGCCCTTTTCGCGCTGCGCTTAGCCGAAGGGCTGCTACGCGCACGCTCCCAGAAGAGAGTGATCCGCTCCGGACTATCGGACCAAGAAACCGCCGGGCACCCATCCAATGATGATGAGGATTTGGGGAAACCTACAGGATGTCATTTGATGAGGATTTGAGGATGTAATTTGATGATGATTTGGACTTCTCTTTCAAATTGGAGTTCAAATTGGAAACCTACGTACAGGGAATCCAACGTGACCTCAGCGACTTCTCTGAAGTCCAAGCGGAATAGACTGTCGGGAGCTGGATCAGTGGTGTCCGGGGTAGGTGGCTCTCCACCATGGATCAAGAAACACAGTACTAACATCTACCAATACATTGGTGAATCACAAATGCCAGTGACCCTTCAGAAGCTCACCACCTGTGAAACCAAAGCGCAAAACTACTGTGTGGAGGACCCGAGGACATGCAAAAAATGTGGCCATACATGGCCATACCATATGGAGCACCCCTGGCGCAGGACCCAAGTTACCCGGCCCCAGAAAAACGAAATGCCCTGGCCTGGGAGATGCAAATGATATTCACCAGGAGGTGGAACCAAGAGACTGCCGCCCCATACGATTTAATGAGACCTCGGAGTGGCAGAGACCCATGCTTTTCCTAACGGGGTGACTCCGTGCCTTTCGAACAACAAAAAACATCAAAAACCAGCGACCAAAGACGGCAACCGGCGACCAATGACACTTGGCCGTCGACACTGATCCAAGTGTCGAATGGGTCAGGCCGGCAGAACGGGTCGGCCTTTCAGAAGATTTGTTGGCATGCAGCGTATCGCTACTGGAATCATATGGAATCATGCTGCTGCCTGCTGCCATTAATATTACTGTTTGGTCTTCGTGGTTCTTGGTCTTGGTCTTCTTGGTGGTGATGCTGGTTCTGGTTCTGGTTCCGGATGTTCCGGTTCGGGGTTCGGATTTTTCTGCTGCTGCTGCTGCTGCTGGAGGTGGTGTCATGCATATGTTTAACACAATCTAACCAACCCCCTTTTCCTGGAGTGGGGAGAAGGAAACGTCCTTCTGGAAATCACATTCTTTGCGAAACCCCAAGAAGAGAACACCTTCCAGGTCGTGTTTCCCGCGACGGAAATGTTTCACAATGTTTCACAGTTCTGTATAGCTTTGCGTTCTGGACCTAGCGCTGATGTTAGATAGAAACACATTTGATGGAAATCCTGCACCCACCATGCGGAAAAAAGATGCGAGGAACTTAAATATACAACTTTTGGGGCGAATCCAAGAGACTCGTCATGAGTGCAATGCAATCAGCACCTCAGCACACGAAACGCTGGGCTCGTGGTCGAGCACAAAGGAAAAAAGAGCCAAAGAACCAAACAAACCAATCGAACCACCAAGCAACCAACAAACACAACTATGGATTGCATGTCCTCATGCACTCGAGGTTGTCAACCAAGCAATGTGAGGCAAAGAACCCGCGGAGCTACCAACCAAAGCCCTCAATTCAATGGAAATAAGGCAACCCAGCAGCCACGATTTGTCAACAGACCAAAGAAATATAAAATCAACTGGCTGATCAAACCAGCAGCAATTCATCAACCAAATAGAACTAAAATAGAACTAAAACTAACAAACACATACAAGCACGCACCCAACGAACGAACCCTGCCAGCGAAGCCAGACCCCACCAAAAGTCCTGTCATCAACCCAGGGGCTGGTCTTGATCCTCAGCTCCGGCAAGCCGGCGCCGCTGGGTTTCCCTTGCGCCACATTCAGCTGCAGCCAGGTGAGCAAGCAGAACAGTACCGCTGTCGAGAAGCAGGCCATCCTCGACGAAGGTGTCATTTGGGAGGGAGTTTTTACAGTACATGTTTTTACATTAAGAAGAAAGGAAGTGCAAAAACATGCAACAACATACCAAGGACAGAATGACCATCTTCAAGTTCATGTCCACACCTATTGTCATCCTAAGTCCATGTCTGCTCTCTTCAGATGAACGACTCGGATTCCGGATCGACCGGCCACGCCGACCGACCGAGCGAGCTGCGAGGTGCTCGGCCGGGACGGAGCGCACGGACGTCACCCGTAACCCGCGCTCGGACGGTCGCGCTCGGAGCATGACACGATTGGGCCTGTTGGTCCAAGGATTTGGTTCTGGATGACTGGATGGTTCAACCCCCATCGGGCGGCCACCCTCGGGCACCGGGCCATTTGGGCCTTACGACCACCTACGACCACGCGAGGTTCCAGGCGGTCCTCCACAGAAAGCTCGGTATGTCGTTCCAGTCCAAGTTCTGGCTCAACTCAAACAGGTTGGCTGCCGGCCGCCTTCGATGGTAGGAGCCAGGGAAGCTCTCGTCCAACTTCTCGAGGAAATAGATGGCCGTGTTTCTCGTCCTGAAGCATCTGCGACCAAGACCATCCAAGAACCTTTTAGAAAAGGCATGATAAGGTCATGATCTCCCATGTCTTACCCAAATACTGAAGGGATCGTCACTTTTTGCCAATACCGATTCCTTGCTCTCACATGCATTCAAATGTGTTCAATGTGTTCCCTGCCGTTGCAGTTTCCTCTCCTGCCCTCGGCATCAGCTTTCGCGGCCTCCAGTTGTTTCCTTGCCTTCACCTTGTGGTAGTGAACGTGTGCCGCGACATCCAATATTTGCACCTCCAAAATCCTGGACGGGACCAAACGAGATCTGGCGACGCACAGCGACCCAGGAAGCCGTCGCTCTCCGGGCTTGGGCAACGGCGACGACGCCATTTGACCACCAAATCCAGGCAAAATGACCCCACGACTTGCAGGGGGACGACAAGGATTGCCACACGCCAGGAGATCGAGTTATCAACAAAGGCCTCTCTTCCATGAAACCCAGAGGTAGCGTCTGTCTGTGGATCCAAGATGGCTGCAGCTCGTAACTGCGAGCTGGTCTTTTTCTGGAGCCGCGACGCGAAGGGTCCCAAGGTACCCGGTCGAATCCGGTGAAAAAATCTGTGAACCCCTTTACCCTTACCCCTATAGAGAATTTCAGAAGAAAAACGCACTATATATATAGACCATGTGTCATCTGCTTTGTTGCACAATGACACTGTTGCCCAAAAAAGTCTTAGTGAAACTACGTGAAACTGCCTGACTAATCCAAATGCTTCAAAAAGGACCGTAAACGTTGACCTCTTTAGCCTGCTTTCATCCACGAAACCATCTCCCCAAGCTTCATCACCAAGAGGCCGCAGCAACAAAAGGGCACTGAGGCTCAGACTGTTGCTTAGGATATTTACAGGTAGCGACCTGGTCGCAGCAATGGCCAAATGCATCCAATGCCATGCCGACGCACTTCTGCTTACTCCACACACCAGCTGGGTGCGTAATCCGGTTTCCCGACTAAAGAAAGAAACACATGAAACTTTGACGAAGCGATGTCATGCTCAACCGAACTCTACGGACAAAGGAGTTGAGCATCATGCCACAATTTCTCCCCCTTTTGTTCGATGTAGATCTTCATCCAGCCCCCTTTTGTTCGACCTTCTCTTCCTACACTCTCCCAGGATTCGCCCAAACCCGGCCAAGCTCTCCAACGGCTCGGCCGAGGTGCAGGAAGTCCGTGTCAGCCGTGCAGTTGGTTCCTCCCAACGAAATTCCATCGCATGAGAACATATCCTGCGGCGCTTCGGTGAAGGGATCGGTTGGAGATGGGTTCTCCTGACCGGGGGTGCAGTCCGCAGTCTGCATGTCATCTTGGAGGTACAGCTGGCAACCGTACTTTACCTATTTGGCATCGTTCCTCATGCAAGTCTTTCATCTTTCAAGACAGCTCATGAGGGAATGGACAAGATTGGCGTCTTGAAGTGTGTTCATTGAAAGGATACACATGAACACCAGTACTTGGACTCCAAGGCTTGATCGTGGCGACAATCTACTCACCGTCTTGTGAGGGAAAAAGAAGGTGTGATAGAATCGTGCTCTGCTCAAGCAAAACAATTGTTTGGCCACGCTTGGTTGGAAAGCTGAGGGTTCTACCCCTTCAATGGAATTGCACACCTATGTCACTGTGACAAGGGTGACCATCCAACATCCAACCATACCTCGTTGGTCCAGACTGAGAGCGGTCCGCCAGGACGACATCCACCAGCAATAGCCATATCAAGGCCTGAAGTTTGCAAATGGCTGACCAGCGAGGCAACTTCGTAGGCACACAAATAACAATCCTCCAAACAAAAACCAGAATGGGAAGTAGTTCCCAACACGTGTCATTGGCAGCTTGACTCTGCATGTTCACCTTTCCATCTGTGTAATTCCTATACATAGATTTTGAGAAATACAACTATCCAAGTTCCTCTCCGCACGGTCCAAGAACATGAATCTTAAATTCAACGATTAATACATTATGATTCGTTATGATTATGATCAATTATGTTCAATCCTCGTGAACTTCCTGCTATCACTTTATCAACATTGCCCTTCTCCCACCACTCACGAGGTGTCCACCCTCCAGCTTACCGAAGGCTTCCGCGAGGGCGACCGCCCGTCTTCGCCCGTTGGGCCGACCGCCTCTGAAGTGAGCCAGGTGCGCAGGCGCCGGGAAAAATCGTGGTGGTCTGGGAAGATGAGGCTCCAACGCTCCAGGAGGTAATGCTTGATGATGTAACCTCGATCCAGTAGTACACTCAGGATAAAGTACAGGGGTGGGTCAAACTCCCAACGCCAAGGGTTCATTGTTGGCCCACCTTTTCATGACCTGGTTCTTTTCTTCCTGAAGCAGTGTAGCCTAGCACGGACTCCAGTTGAGCACCTCGGATATCTAGAGATTCTTTGGACTCTCGGACGTGCGGACGTGCTGTTGAAGGAGCACAGCGTGATGCATGAAACGTGGAAAACAAACCAGGGCCACACGATATGGCCGAAATCGGGATCGGCAAACATCGGCTCAGTGTGCAGCTCAGCAATCTCAAACTATATTCTGCAATCAAAAAACAATGGAATAGTGGGTGTGTATGTATATATATATATATATAGGGAGGGACCCTGAATCAAATCTCAATCAATAGCGTGTTGGTCTAATCTCCTTTTTCCACGATTTTGGGCTCTCCTGTGACAGCCTGGTAGAAGTCATCTTTCGTCCGTTACTCTCTTTCTTCGCTTTCTGATTCCGAGCACCCACTTCAACTTTACAGTGTGGAGTAACAGTTCATGGTGGAGCCAACCGGGCGACCAAAGGAGCGTTGTGGAGATCAGACCCACCCGTTCAACCACAACTGATCTCTTCTTGAGCCCAGAGTTGGGAACTGGTCACACTCCTTTGCAACCATGAAGTTCCATTCAAAAGCGTCAGGTGTGCATGCAGAATCTACAGTATAAATAAAGGATACAAAGGACCATCTTGAAACAGCTTCAGGGAAGCAAAATTAATGTACAAAAGAAAATACACATTCGTTTATGTTAAGGTTTTCGCTATGTCTGGCGTACAATAAACAAGTGTGCAGAAAATGGAATGAAGCGCAAAATAGATGGGTCCTGCCAAAAACGTGTCCTATCAAAATGAACATCATCCTGCTTCTGTCGAATCAACATCTCAGCGGGATAATACTCACTCCCCCGAATTCCCATTCCCGAATTCTGTTCTACTCCGCACCAAATTCGCATCCATCATCTGTCAGTGGTGTCTTTTTGGGAAGAATAGATGGGTCGGTTTGGTACCATTTACCTACAGTATGTCATCTGTTTTGGAGAACACCTGATTCGCATCCATCCCCGAGTCGCGTCCCGCAAAGATGGAGAACACCGGCACGGTGCAGGCCAGCGCCACACAGCCGTCGAAGGTCACCTGTGTGAACCGGATCTGGGCGTGGGACGTGTGGAGGACTGTGGGTGTTCAGACTGAAGGCGCGAAGGAGACCACCCTGACTGCAGCTGAGACTCTAGTAGTAACAAGTGCCACGCTAGTAGTAACAGGTGCCTTACTAGTAGTAACAAGAAGCTATTAGAAACAATAAGCTAATAGCTTCTTGTTACTATTACAAAATCTGACTGACTGGACGATTTGGATGAGACTTGAATCGCGCTTGAAAATGGTGGAGAGTCTGTCCCCAATGGGTGTGGGGCCAAGCAGGGTTTGCTTGGGAAGAGAGACTTGTGAGCAGGTACCAGGGACGTGTTGTCCCTGTGGGTCCCCAAGCGCGTGGCTTCTGTGAGTCCTTTCAATCGCACCTGGACTGTCCAGTGAATAGATGTACAATAAGTGCCATCCACCATCTACCTGTCAGGATCAATGGTTACTGTATCTCTCTCAAAAGAACAATTTGCATAAGTACCGTTCTTGATGAGGAATCGGTAGATTATAGTACACCGCAGTACAGTAACTGTATCATTGATCACTCCGAATCGCCGATTCAGACGCATGTCCAAGCCGTCCAAGTTCCTTTGAAGTGAAGGTTCTGGGATGTTCAGCACCATGGTGAAACACCAACCACACAGTCATGGTCTCTCAATTTGGCAGAATCTGTGACATCTCATGTGGGTTTGCACCACACGGTCAGACGGTACTTCTTCGCTTTTCTGAATGGGTGTTTCATAGGTTTGCTCAAACATAACTACTGTCATACGTTAAACCGACCAAGCTCCAAACAATCCTTTGTTTTGCAGTGTTTGGTGTTGTTGCCCTTTTTCTTTTCATTCGAAGCTGGAGTCTTGTCTACTTGCTCATGTAGCCGCCTGGTGCCAGCGGTTGCGGATATCTACCACCGGCAACGGCGGGGTCCTGCTGTTGTTGACCTGGGCCCGTCGTCGCAAAAACGGCCGGACTCGTCGCCAAGGATGTGTGTGGCCATGCATCTCGTGCGACGGAGCCAAGGATGTGTGTGGATTCCAAAGATTTGATGTAAAGGTTCGAGTGATTTAGAGATCAACCACAAAATCAGTGGCTTGCAAAGGTCTGTAAAAGTGGCACTTGCAGAAGGAGGGTTAAAGAGTGGTCCGTGGTCCACATCAGCTCGTGGCAGCCTAAACTAAACATCCCATACAACAATGATAATCTCCCAAAAATTGCGATCATTTGTTCCTACACCTGGATTCCTTCCAAATCCAACTGGAGGGAGCCCAAATCCCCAAATCCCCTGCTTGTACAACAAGGTTCAAATGGCTGCCCTGCCTTCACCACGTTGTCAATGGCTCTCTTCAGCGCTTGATTGGTGTCCACATCGCTCTCGTCAGCCCAAGGGTCGATCTCCACAAAGGGCTCGGTTTCACACCCAGCGCCTCAGCGAGAACAGTGCAACCGCTGGGGGAGAGCCAAGAATGGACTCAAACCCAATTCGTTGCAGAGGGTTTCACTATCAAATACAAGCCCTGAATGGGGAGACGGCCCGTGGTTCTTGGTGACGGGTCCTGAAGTCCAATAGGATTCTGGTCGAAGACGCACGGCTCGAGCGGTCTGCTCGGTCAACCTGCGTTGGATGTTCGACCAGCAGGTTTGGGAGTTCTCGATGTAGACCCCCAAATAGATAGAAAGGTAAATCCCCACTAAGCATGTTTGGGGACCCCTATATGGTGCCTTTGCCGATGTTTTCCTACAATGTTGCAAGTGAGGCAAGCACACACACACACAGACTGATGCCCTGAGCACAGGGGCTCGTCGTCAAAGGGGCTCAGGTCGCTTTAAAGTGTTCAATCGAGCCAAATTCGTCCAAATTGCTTAGCAAAATTAGTCCAAGGGTCCTTTTGGGGCTTGTGCTTTTTGTGCACATGTACCTTCCTGCGCTCGAACATCTGAATCTAGTACCTTCCTGAATGTTGTGGACGCCACTTGGATCCGGTCACGAAAAACCGCACCGTATTGGACCTCGCCGTATGGACTTGTCACCCGCACTCTGCTCCAGGCGGCACTCCACACACATAATCCTGGATGAGACCATGGCATCTGCATGTGGATTGGATGTGATTCACCCAATGGTCGCTTTGTTTGCTTCGCTTCTTCTTCCCATGTCGCTGTTTGGTCGTCCTTTCAGTCCTCTTTTTTCAGTCCTCTACATCCGGAGGGTCCGATGGACTGGACTGGTCCCAGACGGTCCCTCATCGACTCGATGATGCGACAGTGCGCCATCCAGTTTCTTCTAATGCATGGAAGTGAACACACGAGAGATCAGCTTGCTTGCCATGTCCGTCATCTTTGCTGTTGTCTAACGCTTCAAGCCAACATGTTGCACAAATGATTCATGTCTTTGAGTGGCGGGCCGCTTCCCAGCACAAATGCCCGAAGGCATGGTTTTGTCTGGTGAAAATGACCTTCCAACAGTCCATTGCCACGTGCTTCTTGAGATTTGTTGGGGAGGGGAGCAAAACTAGTATATAATTAGTAAATGTCGGATTTCATCTCCAGAGAACGATGACATGACATGACAATAAAATGACATTGCTGGACACAGAGTGACCTGTGCAGCAACGGAGGAGGTTCATCTTGGCTTCGTGGAAATCCGACCCAACGCAAGACATAGAGCTTGCAAGGATATACTAGTCGACAGAGTGTTGCCACCAAGAACTTGGCCCTTCCAAAAAGGTGGAAAGGTCATGAACCGTCAACTCCGAATGACATAGTTTTTGGTTTTTGGTTCTGAATGGTCAGTTTTACTCGCAGGGTGTTGCAGTAGCAGTCAAGAGTAGATCATTGGGCGATAGCCACTCTTTGTTTCTTTGGACCGAGGTGCTGGAACTGCTTGAGCTGTTTGCTGGGCCCCGGACAGGCGGCTGCTCCGGCTCCTACCATCAGCGGACGAAGTCGGTGGTTTCGTAGACTTCAGCTTTGGTCCCCTCTGATCTGCTTCTAAAGGTCCGTGGACAAAGCTGAAAGTTCTAAACCTGGTAGTCTGCTGCAGACCGTTCCCCAAAAACATGGACACTCACAAGTCCTCTAGAACTCTAGCGACTCTAGCGTGTAGACGGTCTGAGTTCATGTGGATTTCTTGGCTACTTCGTTCGTGACGGAAGGTCAGCGGTAAGCAGTGAACTTGAGGCCAGGGCGAGAGGTCGAAAGCTAGCCGAATCGCACCGGATGTACTAGTTACATAGTCGGCAAAACATGTAGGGATTACATGTTTTGGGAGGAAGGTTGCTATGTACATACTTTGCGCTAAAGAATGTAAATGTGACATCGCTGACTGGGAAGGGTACATTGGAACAACCCGGGTGCACTCGTTGGCAGGCACGAAGATGCGTGATCGGCAAATCTGGGGGGTAAATTTACCCTCCGCTTTTGTATGCCTTGTGCTGGAAAGAGGGGTAAGCATTTCTGACATCATACGGACTGTACATACACTAGGGCGTCCGTAGTGTAGGAGAAGCACGGGTAAAAGGTATATGGAATAGAGTGTCTTGAGGAAATAGCCGGTGTATGGTTATTGCAAATCTGGGGGGTAAATTTACCCCCCGCTTATGTATGCCTTGTGCTGGAAAGAGGGGTAGGATCCCCCTGTACATAACGGGGTGACCTTGGACACCCCATTCTATAGCTATAAAAGTGGGGACGCGGAGTTTGGTGTTACAAAATGCTAGGACCTGGAACAAAAAGGTATCTATAAAATGAAGATATCTCTAGTGATGATAGAAATGGGGAGTCTGTTTCAAGTCAAGCTGAAATTGCTCTAGAGAATGCCTGGCCCAACCCTCAACCTCTCAACAAATAAAAAATACAAAACACTAAAAAACATGTTGTAGTGCACTCGTCTTGGATCATGAAAATATAGGGTCAGCTGATCCAAAAGGATCTTTGCCGGATGCAGCCATTGTTCACCAAAAAGTGCTTCCACTACAAAATTACTATCGTTCAAAAAGGCACCTCTACAAAATGACAGCGTGCAACCTTGCTCTTTGCAACACACTTGAAATGGCTTCCACTACAAAATGGATTTGGTATGACTTGGATCCAAACAAGGCTCCACTATAAAATGTCCGCACAAGCAAATGATGTCATCATGTTCATGCCCAAAATTGTCACTACAAAATGATGGTGGCTGGTGACATTTGTTCAATGTCTCTGAGCGAAACACTTAAATCACTACAACATGCAAGCACACGAGGTCATCATGGGACACAATTTTTATATAAAAAACTGATTTATATAGGGGCTCGAGCACTCCCATTCTGTAGTGGAAATGCACTGGGGGATGGGGTAGGCATTTCTGGCATCACAAGGACTGTGCATACACTAGGGCGTCCGTAGTGTAGGATAAGCACTGGTAAAAGGTATCAAGAATAGAGTGTCTTGAGGAAATAGCCGGTGTATGGTTATAGCAAGCCTGGGGGGTAAATTTACCACCCGCTTATGCATGCATTAGGTTAGAAATAGGGGTAAACAACTTGTAACGGTGAAGTACAAGTCCTATGCAGCAAGCAGCAGCCAGCAGCAGCAGCAGCAGCAGCAGCCGCCTGCAGCCAGCAGCCAGCAGCAACCACCAACCAGCAGCCAGCCAGCAGCACCACGCAGCAGCAGCGCAGCATCAAGCCGCAGCAGCAGCAGCAGCACCACCGGCAGCAAGCACCACAGGCAGCAAGCAGCAAGCAGCAGCAGCAAGCAGCAAGCAGCAGTAGCAGCGGCGTCGTCAGCCGCAACAAGTAGCAAAGCAGCAACTACAAAAGCGGCAACCAGCGGCAGCAGCAAACAGCAGCAGCAAGCAGCAGAGCGGCAGCAGCAGCAGCGCCCTTTACACCAAGCCACCGTTTACACCCAACCAACCACGTTCAACCAACCCCCTACACGGCGCAGCTGGGAGTTGAACTGCGGGGGGGGGGGTTAGCTTGATATATCAATCTTTAAGGCACGCAGCCCCTCCCACCACAACATTGCTAAAGCAAAGAAGAACTCAGCTAGCATGCTAGCTTTCGTGATCAATCGAAAGGTCATGCCCCCAACGAAGGATCTTTCAAGTCTGTGCTACAGGAAGTGTATATTGTTTCTAACAGCTTCTTGTTACTACTAGTAAGGCACTTGTTACTAGTAGCGATGCACTTGTTCCTAATAGCGAACATTGTGACTACTAGTAAGGCACAAGGACCATGTGGCATGGTGCGTTAGGACCATGTTTATGGACGTGGAAGGCCTGTTGTACGTAGCGTCTCCGAATGTTTCAGGCAAAAGAGCAGAGGGGGAATGGGAGCGCACCCAAGTTGGCCAACTCAGTGCAAAAGTTCCTTTTAAAGTTGGCTGGATCGAACAAAAAAAATATGTTGACTCTGCATAGAACAATCGGATTGAGAGAAGGCTCACCTTGGCTCACCTTGACTACTGCAGGGCGGCTCACCTGGAAAGCTGAAGCTGGGACTCACAGAACCGCAAGCGCCTCATCTCCGGCATCGCTTTCAAGCGGCTCCTCATGCGAACCAACAGGTCTGAGTTCAGCTTTGATGAACAAATACGCAAAGAAAAATGGTCAAACAAATATGTCAATTAACATATTCTTTTTCCCGAAAGCATTGCGAAGGGTTCTTCCGGAAAATCCTTTGAACACTTACACTTCGACACTTACACTTACACACACACACACACACTGGAAGAGCGAAAGCATCCAAGTGCGAAGTATGCCAGTGTCAAAGTATGCAAGTGTAAGTATGCAAGCATGATATGCAAGGGTAAGTATGCAAGCGTGATATGCAAGGGTGAGTATGCAAGCACGCAATGAGTATACAAGCATGCAATGAGTAGGCAAGTGTGAGTATGGAAAACTAGCACGGGAGATGTCCTAATGAAAAAACATTTCCCCACTTTATAAATTCTCTCTTAAAGGCGGAGTGCGGGACGAACAGCGTCAACCGAAAGTGCAACCCTCTGCGGAGATCGTGCGTGTCGAGTGCGCGAAATGCAGGCGAGAGTGCGATTTG